GAGAGAGAAGTAATGGAATGAGGAGAGAATGAATAAAATGAGTACCTTCTCTCCCTTTTTATAGGGGAGTGTACCTTATAGTCCACGTTGGGCCTGGCCTAGATTGAGCTCGGCCCATATTGTCATATCAAGTGTCTTAGCCTATGTATAGACGTATTCTTCAATATATATCCATAAAAAGCGATCAGGTACGACATGTTATATCAGATACTACCGATCGAGCCGACAATACTAACTGTGGCTATATCAAATACCTTATGACTTTGTAAATACTTTTTGTAATCCCATTCGAATTGCACCTGACTTTGTAAGACTTTTTGAAATGCAACCGGCATTAATTTTTCAAAATCATCAAATACTCTCTTAAAATCATCAAATAGCCTCTTGCGATATGTATTTTTCCTTTCACAAATTGAAAAACACAAAGAGTACATTACAATGGATACACCACCATACAAAGACTTCATACCACATAACTACAGAAAACACATCTTTAATTTGCACACATTGACACAAGTCTCCCACAAACCAAAGTACACAAAATGAAACAGATGAATCAACCAATCATAAATACATCATGAACAAAACTAATAAATTCATTGACTTTGTAATTATTCAGCAGTTGTGTTTCTACTTGGGGATCCTCTTGGACAAGGCCCGAACGGAGATTATAATGAGCAACGTGAGCACAACAGACCCGAACAAGGAGACTGCAACCGAGGACCCAATGTGCTTGCAAAAGCCATCATAGATGTCACAAATCTTTCGCCATTGAACGTGAGAGTTGCCCTTCAACCCAATGTATGCAACTGCACCGGCTGCCCCAGTTGCTGAAGCCATTAGTCCCAAGACAAGCTGCACCAGGTTCATACATTCTCAACACTCAATCCGTAAATTTGCTCTTTCAATATATATATATATATATAAATTTTATTTGAACAGAGAGAGCTTACCACATCAAAGATGACCAAGTGGGAGACAAGTTTGATGTAGGAGGCAGGTTTGAGGACGGCAAAGAAGGACACAATGGTGGTTATGGCCGCGTATAAGCCCGCAACTGACAATGCTGCTACGAAGTATCTGCATCATCAATCGAAACAATAGACTTTATATTAATAAATACGACTATTTACAGACTAGAAAACAACCAGATACAACCGAATCAAACACGAAAATAAAATATCAAAATACTTCTACAACTAGAGAATACAAACTACAATAATGGAGAATAATAAACCACAAAAACAAGAAACAAACATAAAATAATTATAACCATTAAATTATTCCGCCTCCAAATTTGATCGAGGTTGAAAAAGGCAAACATAGGCCGTAGTCAAGAATTTCAAATTTTAAATTTGTATTTTTTTTTGTCCTAATTAGAGACAAAATAATAGAGCGTTTCTTTTTAGTTCTCGTGAAGAGAGTCGTAAGTAAAGACTCCAATTACGGACACGAATTTAAAAAAAAAAGTTTGATTTTATTAAGATGTAATAACTATATTGTTCATACGATTATTATTCGTCAATAAATTCTATGGAGTCATCCATAATTTTATGTAATAACACATATCCAATGTACATTTATTGAAGGGCACATGTCAATACATCATTTGTGAATAACAATGGATGACTCCATAAGCCGAGCAATCCGATTGCTCCACAGCAAAACCGTATTATTCGTTTTCAAATTAAAATAGTTACATGAAGAGAAAATTGATGTTAGTTGTTCAACGCTATATATAGGGAAATGTTAAGGTCCCGTTTCGAGCCATTCCGTAGGGGTTTGTAACCGTTAGAACATGATATAACCTATCGGGGATAGTTGATCTAACGGTTACAAACTCCGACGGAATGGTTCCGCACCAAGACCGTAGCATCTTCTATGTATATAACCCAATAAACAAATTGGTATTCTTCTTGTAATTAATCCCTGTTTAGTTACATAATATGTAAATTTGAATAACTAAAAAAAAAATCATAAATCCATGCATATTCTATAAAAAAGGCAGTGCATAAATAAAAATACTTACATCAAAGCCGGTGAATGATTGAAGTTGGCATCTCGCGATACCAAGAAAGGAGGAAAAATGATTGGAACAAATTCCGATTGTTTGCCAGTAACCATCACCACCACAGCCGCTACGCATGAAGCAAACAGCAGAAATCTGAATACCAAATCACCCACCGCCGAGCCGCCATTACGCGGCGGCGGCAGCAGTGGTGCCGCCGTTTTCTCCCCGGAAATTTCTACGGAGGCCATAGATTATAGTTCTAAAATGTTGTTGTTTACTGAATGTGGATATGATCGTGGCAGTTGTGTTATATTTATAGAGGAGACAATTAAAATGTGGGGTGTTCAAAATTATATATATTTGGTCAGAATTTGCGACATGTCCAGTTAGTTGCGAATGTATTTTATATTGTGTCTACATTTGTTTTGTAGTGGTGTTCACATTAAATTTGCGTTGATTTTGGGTTATTGGTGCATATCTGATGTTTCAAAAGTTTTGAAATGTGGGGAGATTCTACGGTTTCGTTACAGAATAAATACGTCGGAATTTGTAACCGTTAAATTATTTAATTCTGACGGTTACAAACCTTGATAGAATGGTTTTTTAACGGGACCGTAGTATCTCCCGTCAATTGGATACATATTTGACGACTTCATCAAATTATAAAAGTGAGTCGAAATCAACCGTTAGCAAGACAATATTTTCAAGAAATCTAGTTAATGATAAATATGTGTAGCACTAATCATTTGAACATTAGAATATATAAATGTATATTATGTAAAAAGGGCACTTTGGAATAGACAATCCCTAAATGATTAATTGATATACCACGACCATATAGCTCTCGTACAATACTTTACTATTATTATCTATACTAGTTGGTCAATGGTTGTGCACGCACAGCCGGCTCTAGTCCAGTGCATAATTATAATTAATATTTAGAAAAATTTAAAAATACACATACACACCTTTTATAAATACTGATAATATGTGGTTTAACGTTGCATTGTGTTACAACTGTTTGTTAATGCGAAAATGTGTACAACTGCGATAACTTGTGAAATAAATGGCTATTAGAACATTAATCACCATTGCCAATTGTTACCAAGAAATACGAAGTCACCAACATACCATACTATTACACAAAAGATATTAGCAAGAAAACAAAAGCAAATTCTTGACATAGCCAAAAGATTACCAAAAGAACATAAGTCTTATGTTACCAATCCGACCTTACTACCATACATCATTCATAACGAAAAGGGGAAACAGTCGCAAGTTTTAAATGGGATCGAAAACATCATTAATAATGGAATACTAAATTTAGTACTTCTTAATTTTGAAAGTGATGGGTTCATTTGATGGGCCGATAAGTATGAACTTGCAGGTAGACCACACCATAATGCCACTGTCATCAACAAAATAACGGACGTCACAATTTTGCAGCAGCTTCTTGCCGTGTTCTTAAATCACATCAACCAGATATGAATCTTTGTTTGTATATATGACTGCCTGGGAATAGTCATCAAAGTAGCCTTGGATGTAGTCCCTCCAAGTATAAGATAGAACTAACAAAACCACATAATATAGTTCCATCTAAACTCAAACCCCAAAATTCATGAAAATGAAACACGACAATATCATGAATAACCAAAGAAAAACAAACAAACCAACAAACGAAAGCCCAACTTTGATAGCAACAATAACATAGAACCACTGAAACAACAAAAGATCACAATTAGAAGAACTGGAAAAAGAAACGTATCGAATAAACGCTTAGCTCATTTTTTTCACCTAATAAAGTCAAGGGGCACTCATCAATTCCAAAGGGCAGCGCATGTCATCTTTTTTCTGCAATGTGCTACCTCTATACACGTTCTAAAATGCAAAACCCAAAAGAACGCATGTCATTTTTTTTTTATTTTTTTTTGCAAAATAGTGTTAAGAGATTGCTATAAGAAGATACACGATAAAGACTGTCATGGAACACAAAGAAATGAAAAAAAGTTCAACTCATTAACCTAGCCAGCTTAAGTCTCTTTATACCAGTTTTCTGCAATGTGTTGCCTCTACACACGTTCTAAGATGCAAAACACAAAAGAAACCAAGTTCATACAAATGCAAAACACGTTCTAAATCTTCAAATATTTACTTCATTATAGCCCGCTGACAAATACCTCTATGGCTACCCAATCTCCCTTCCAAGTGGGATCCGCTTGGTCGTCCTTCCCCTTAAGATTAAGCAAAGTAGATGATCGCAGTGAGGTCGCCCGTTTCTAAGCAAAGCAGTCAACCCAAGTTCATACAAATGCAGTATTTGCTGGAACATCGGTTAAAGCATTTCTTTAACAATTTGGATTATTATTAAGATCAGAACTCAGAATATAAAATATAAATAGTTAAGCGAATTCCAATGTCCAAGGATCTCTAAAGATTCAACTTATGCAATACCTTTCGACAAAGATAAACATCCCCTTTCTCGGCAAATAGCTAAATTAACACACTTGATTTTTTGATTCTATAAGACTTTTCTTCATTCTATTTGCCCAATGGAAAATGGGAAAAAGACAATTATAAGACTTTTCTTGATTTTATTAGACATAGGACTTCGGAGGAAGTTAAATTATTAGATTCGATATTGAGCTTACTCTCAAAATATTTGTTATTATCAAAGTATACTAAAATATGACTTTATTGGGTACCCAATTATTTAGTTTCTTTATGTGGATGATTGGGCCTGCTTCTTGTACTTTAAGCCTTTTGATTTGATCCTGCACTGTAATGATCGACAACCTTTTTCGCTAAAATCTTTGCTCTCATCCTCCAAAAATCGGCATCATCTGATAATAATAACCACCACTTCAATCTTGAACATAAGATTTTCAATTCTCTTATAAGAAGAGAAAAAAAAAAATTGCAGCAAAATTAACATATTTGTTTCTCTCCATTCAGATTGGAGTTCCATAACATTCAACTTAAAATGAATATTATTATATGCATGCATAGCTCAAATGCTTTCTAGTTCCATATTAAGAATTCATATTGTTTTTCTTAACACAAAAATATAGAAAATAATTTGATTTTAAGACACAGAATTTCAAGTAAAGAAAGGCCAGGTACAACAATGTTTAAAGTTAGTGGACTATATCCAGTCAAATATTTGGCTCTTCTTGTACCAGTCATTGAAAAGGACGTTGAACTCAGACTCGGGCGTGTGGAAGGGTACGGGGTTGGCAAAATGGATATTATGGGAAGATCATCAATACCATTTTGTCAGACAAATATGGCATATGACCCAATACTGGAAAACTGTTGCATATATCCATGTCTTAAGACACAATAATTGTACCAAATTTAACAAAAAAATATTAAAAATAAAATTGACAACGTACCTTCAAGATGCCATGCAACTGGTGAGTGGTATAGCTGCACACGAACAGAGGCAAACCAACCAGGTGTTATAGCCCTCATTGAATCTCTGTATCTTGGGGGCAAACCTACAAAATGATTTCCATTGGTTAGGCCTCAATAATTGCAGAAGTATATACATTACAAATATTAGGCATACAGAAGCACAATAAATTTGCAGTTATCAGATGCATACTGAAAACAATCTCCAGTAATTTACTTACAATCCACAGTAATTTACTTACAATCCACATCGACAGACCTCACAATATATATCTCATAGACAAATTTGAGTAAAAAAGGACCCAACAAATAACTCCTTAACTTCGATAACTTCGGCTAAATTATAGTAGCATTAAAATCAAAAGGCACGGACACTCACCTTACAAATAGCCAAATGAGAAAATCAGACACAAAAAGGCCGGCGACCATGGCAAAATTAGAAAGAAAATTGAAGCATAACTATTGAGACATGGAGCATCCACAGAACTGAATAAGATCAAAGAAAATCTTAGGCCATAAACGAAGAAATAAGAACGTTACAGACAGGAAAGATAAGCGCAAAGGTCCGATTGAAAAAAAAAAAACAAATCTAAAAGAGCACACTATGTTTTGAGCTGAAAATAAGCGGCGTGAATCTCGCCAAAAAACCACAAACATA